GTGCGAAATCTGTGACTGGAATTAATAATTTTAGATATTAATGAATGTGAGAAAGAAAATGGAGGTTGTGAATATGAATGCCTGAATTATCCTGGTTCATATCAATGTTTTTATCCTCCTGAAGAAATTAAAGCAACTGAAGGAACCAATGAAATTGAAGAAAATTTTCAATATCATAACAGTATGCATTAATTTATTAAATTTTAATCCTTAATGAAATAAAATTATGATACAATTTTTATATTTAATAAAAATTCTATAATTGTAAAAAATATAATTTATTGCTAAATTTTAATTATTTTGGATTTAAATATTTCAGGAATATCATTATGTGAAATCGATAATGGAGGATGTGCACAGATATGTAAAGAAATATCTGATGACAAATATGTTTGTGAATGTAATGGTGGTTATTTACTCTCTGTTGATGAACATAACTGCATTGGTAAAAGTTTTTATATTTGCAGTTTATTTCTTTAACATAAAAAATGTATTAATTTTTAAAATGATAATCATATTATTATTTTATTTTAGAATTACAAGATATGCTACAGAATGGGAATGATTTTTAGTTTATATAAAATAGCACATTTTAAGAATAAACAAATACAGAAATTGTTTTCTATGTTAAATAATTCATATCACTAAATACATTTATTAAATTTCAAACATTGTGTGATGTTTAGTGAATGTGATGTTTATTTTAACTATTAATGTCCCTGGAGATGAGTTATAACAACTGAAAAGACAATAAAAGCTGTGAATTTCAGAAAAGAAATATTTTGGGTGAATAAATATGAATTAGCACAATTAAAATTGAATATGATATCTTAATATCAATAAATGCAAAACTAGAAGCCAATGTGTTAAAAAAAAATTCTAATTCTTGAAATGTGTAATAATAATTACCTAAATATAAGTATTGAATTTCAGAAAATAAAAAGTATGAACATAAAGTTTGATCTTATAAGAAAAAATAATACAAATATTACAATCATAAATGAATTAATGTCCCGAATTGTTTCAGATAATTGATGCTCTACTATATTTGTAATAAGCATATGTGTAGGATGCTGCAAATGCTTTCCTCTTCAGCCTTTCATTGCATTTTTGGCTCTGCTGAGGAAACTTCTGTCTTCATCTCATCTGCAATTTTGCAGAACTTTGCTTGAGTAGACTTGTTCATCTGGGTTCTTTCTTGTTGAAGCCTGATGACGTCTTCCAGTTTTCTTTTAGACAATGCTATTATTCTTTAGAGAAATAGTAACTGGAATAGAGATAGGACTTCTGAATTAAATTTTCATGAAGTGCACAATGGATCTTTTAGATCAAAGTACTTTTGGCTTGTCCCCATTTTTTTAGTCTACAGTCTAATATTGAAATATTATTTTTTTCTTAATGTGAATTTTATTATTTAATTTAATAATTAAAATTTCGTGTAATATTAAGTACAAAATAAATTAGTTTAGGAAAATTTCGCATACATTTACATTTTAAAAGTATATCTAACCGGGCTGTCTACTAATTACTTGTACAATTTTTTTATTTCCTTTTAAACCTTCTCTTCCCATTGCGTATAATCATGCACTTTTAACAAACCCTCCCCTTTAATTACGTGTACAATACAATAGTTCATGAGTCCCCCGACAAAGTTATGCAAATATATTGTAACTGATAGTTTACTCAAAACTAGTAAATCAGTCTTTTAAGAACAAATACCAAAACAAAATCCTTGTAGACAATGCCTCGATCCCCTCACTTCCTGTCGTATAAAATGATGAATTTTTCGCGAACTTCTCCTTAAACTGTACACGTAATTAATGGACGATCCCACATAAAAATAAATCTTTTGTAAATAACAGCCGTTCAGCTCATTAAAAACTATAAAGAAAGCTTGGCGATTATTCAGATGACAGAATAATACTAATTGAATAGGGCGCTATTCAGTGTTGATTCTGTCTTTCGTAGACGTTTTGTCAACGTTTCACTGAATACAAATAATTGTATATGACCTATATTTTCCTTTCTTCTTAATGTATATGAAGGCAGTCTTATCAGATTTTGAGTACTTATTGCACATTTTATAATTAACGACAGATAAATTCTGTTAGGTAAAGTTATGTAACAAGTAACCTTTCATAAAACTGAATGCATTGTGCCAGTTGATGATGGTAACTAAATTCTGGAGCATGCTTATTTCTAAATAAGTTTTTATCCTAAAAGAATAATTTAGAGAAAAAGAATAATTGATACAAAATAATTTAAGATACCTTAAATTATTTTGTATCAATAGTTCTCAACCAATGGTATGCGTGCCGTTCGGATACGCAAGAAAGATCGGTTGGAGCTACAANCAGAAAATAAAAAGTATGAACATAAAGTTTGATCTTATAAGAAAAAATAATACAAATATTACAATCATAAATGAATTAATATGGTGGAGTTTATTTCTAAAAATTTTTTCATTGGGAATTTTTGATTTTAATAATTTAGTAAACTGTGAAAAAATGAGTTTACATTTTAGATGAAATAGATAATTTTATATGTTAAGTAATTTGGTACTAGAAGTAAATATTAGGCTTCATCTCTTACTAAATTTAATAATTATAATATTTAATATAATTTTAAATAAAATTATTTTTTGAAAAGATTACCATTTAAGATCTGTACATTTGGATGATAATGACAAAAAGAATTTTTGTGGTTACATTTTGATCATTTATCTAGTCGAATTTCATTTTTCCAATTAGAAGAGTATTTCTTTTCATTTGTTCAGTATAAACCACTGATTGAGTGGTTTGAAAGCACAGAACATCAGAAATTGGTTCCAGGTTTGTACTTAAACAACAGGCTGATTGCATGAAATTTTTCAGGTTTTTTAATGTTCTAACGTCTACTGTAAATAGGGGCCAATTTCACATAAGAAGTTTACTGGGAAAGTACTTCTCCTTGGCAATTATGTTATTCCATCCTTGATTTCGTTTTACTGATTGATTTTGGAATTTTTTTTATTTTTTTTAATTAATCTATAAAATGAATATTAACCACTCATATTATAATGAAATTACAGACCAAAAATTGACCAGCAATTATCTTAAATGATCAGATAAAGAAGCATAACATAGATGCACAAAAACAAGGAGTAGCATTGTTACACATAGTTGCTGTTTTCTTAAAAAACATTTCAATTCATTAGTAAACATTACATTGTGATAACATTTTGTTTTTATGTAGTTAGAATGGTTTCTGATAAATTTCAATCCTATTGATTTCTTTCAATCACAAAAGTTTATTTTTACTTTTATGTACATTGTATACTTTTGTTATATGTGCATTGTTAATTTCTGATGAAAATAGATGAGTTTGCATTTGCACAAAAAAGATAATATACTTTTTTATAACTATTCAAAGCTGAAAAATGCATTAGCAGACATACATACATATATACATTCATACATTTCTGGTCTAGATAGCACTCACCAACCTTTCTGACCTCACAGACCACTAAATTCACAATTTTGAATCCACAGACCACTGTTGTGAATTTTTTTAAATGATACAAACATCTATAGAATAATGATCATAAAAAGTTCCAGTTTACTTTATTAATATGAACTTGTTTAATTATAACAAATTAGTGTGAAATTTGTTGCTGCTTGTTTGAAATAAGTTTATCGATTCTTGGCTGTTTACCATGAAGGACAACAATCACACTCACAACATTATTTATTGTTGATTATTTATTGATAACAGTCATTTCATATTTAGTTTTATATTTGAATAAAAAAAATCCAATGAGTGAGAAAAAGCAACCAAGCATTTTGCATTTCTTTCATAATACTTTGTGTCACCTTGAGTTGATTAATGTCCAAATTTCTCCACAGACCACCAAAATTTTCTTGCAGGCCATCAGTGGTCCATGGACCACTGGTTGGTGACTGCTGGTCTAGATCACTATGGTTGATTTGTAAAAAATATATTGCAAACTGAAACTTAATAGCTTTTTGAAATAGCAGATTCTAAGATATAAAAGAAAGAATTGATATAAGTACTTTATACTTTACTATAATTGTACAACTTATTTACAACAAAAAAAGAGAGTACATAATTTTCTCTTCAATCAATTAGTATATTATAATATCTTACTGATAAAAAAAATATAATTCAGTTTATTAATCTTATTTTTTAATATTAATATAATAAGTAAGTTAGTTATAAATATAAAATATAATGTATATTAATATATGTAAAGGTATATTTTATTTTAATAGACATAGATGAATGTGAAGATTTATCAACAAATGATTGCTCTCAATTTTGTTATAATACAATTGGTTCTTATTATTGTATGTGTAAACCTGGTTTTAAACTTTATAATTACAAGATTTGTGTTGGTAAGTTACCTTTAAAAATTTTAATTTTATATTTTGAAATAAGTTAAGAATATTGGGATCTTCATTTTATTCCAGTATCTTCATCCTATATTAATAATTTAAAAAATTTGTACATAAAATTATAAATTTTAATTATATTAATATCTAGGAAAATTAGATTAGTATCTATAGTATTCTTTTATTTCATATTCATTCAATTATTATTCAAAAATATTTGTTTATCTCTTGAAAAGATATTATTATTACATTTTCTTAAATGTGTCTTTCTGCTATCTTTAGATTTTGATGAATGTGACACTACTTTAAGTGAATGTTCACAAAATTGTCATAATACATTTGGATCATATTATTGTTCATGTAGTTCTGGATTTGAACTTTCAACAGATGGTAAAACTTGCACTGGTAAGAAATTTTCTCCTAGTTATTCAAAATGTAACATTAAAATGCAAATTTGAAATTTTCTATTTAACATATTAAAAATTTTTTAATTTTAAATGCATATCAATATTCAAGACATCAATGAATGCAAGTATTCTACTATTAATTATTGTTCTCAAATATGCATTAATACACAAGGATCATATTTCTGTAGTTGTAAACGTGGATTTCGACTTGAAAATGATAGTAGAACTTGTGTAGGTAAATAAAATATTAATTATTACTCAATATTAAATATATGTGTGCTATGAGAGTTAATTGATAAATAAAGTCTCCACTTTTATGAAGTAAATTTTGGGAAGAGGGGAGAATAATGTGCGATTAATACAGATTGGTGCATTGTATGAAATGAGGAAGACAAGTTTACGTCTAAACTTGACTTTTATGTGGAATGATACAATACAATGAACTGAGATAATGTATGTACAGATTAGATACTTGTGGCTAGCAAATGGTGACAATGACAAGTTTTTATCCTTGCATTAAACACAATACTCCAGTAGGAGACTATTTATTAATCAACCCTCAAATAAATGACAATTTTTGTGGTTAATTAATTAGTCATCATATAATAATAATTAAAATTTATTTTATAGATATAGATGAGTGTGAGGACCTTGTAAGGCATGATTGTTCACAACAATGCCATAACACATTTGGTTCTTATTACTGTGATTGTAATCCTGGTTATAAATTTGAATTGGACAAAAAATCATGCACTGGTAAATTTAATTTTTATATATGATTATTTTTTTACATATTGTCCCTAATCTGTGTAAGATAATATAAAGTCTGTTTTTAAAATTTAGTGCTTCTTTATTTTTTCATATATATGGTGTCTACTTAAATATCTGTCCAGGAGGAGAAAAAAGCTTTCAAGCATTTCATGAGAGTATTCATGTTGTGCATACTTGTTACAGTGCTAAAATAACTGAAGGGATTCAATTTAAGACAATTTAGCATAACATACAAATAATCTCTGCTGTAAAAAATAAAAACAAAATGCAGGAATTGATACAAAAATACTGAGCTATAGTTTGTTAGAAAACAAGTTCAAAATGACATCTTCAGCAGCAATAAAATCCAGAAGGATTAAATCTGGGAGACATGATGGCCAAGGAACAGGTTGTCCTATCCAGTGCCGGCCCAAGACAAGTTTTATAATGGAGCAAGATCCTATTGTGGCATTCCCCTTGGTTGCTCCTAATTTATACCCTTTAATTTTCTTTACCACTGAGGTGCCCCATAGCACTTAGCACCTGGAGTGGCTGCTTCGTTCGCCCTATGGTAGGGCCAGCTCTGGTCCTATCCAGCAGTTTCCAAATTCTTCTGCAAAGCACTGATGTATGTCTATCTGGAAATGAGATGGTACACCACCATGCTGGTACCAAACTTCCTGTAGCTGTGCCAATGGCAAGTCATCAAGCTATCATCCACCATCATGTTTAGGATGTTCATATATTGGACAGTATTCAGAGTGTATCTATTTGTGGAATGAGGTCTGCCTGGTGGCATTTTTTTAAATGAATTAATCCTGGTATTTTTGAAACCATGCCAGTAATTTTTTATAATTCAAACACAAATTATTTATTGTATATATACAGACACTTGGCAAATCACAGAATTAAATTTTATTCAGTTGATACATGTTCCTCTCGTTTATACACATTTCAGGCATTTCTTGCCCCTCCTCAGCCAACTAAAATAAAAGTTTACAAGTTACAACGATATAAACAAACAAACATATAAGGTCATGTTATTTAAAAACATACCTTTTTGATGAGTTTAAACAATTTTAAAATTTCTTCCATACACTTACAATCACGTTTAAATTGATTTAACAATTAAAATTTACATACTAGTCTTTCGAAGTAATCCTTCTTCACAAACGTATTTCGCTGACCTTTCCTTTCCCTTTTTTTCCCCAGTTAAACTTGCCCACTGTCTACTACACAGTCACATGATGGGTAGGCCACCTTGTGGCAACATTTTTTGAAAATTATTTTTTTACATAAAAAATCTTTTTCAAAAATATTCCTAATTTTATAAGATATTGAACCAGTTTTCGTTTATTTTAATACTTAGATTTTTATTTATATATTTATTACTTTTGATAATTTCTATGCTTTCTTTGAACTTTCTATGATATGTTTCTTTTTCTTTGTACTTTATCTTTATCTATTTTACAATCGTTCAGGGTGCAATGATCAAGAAAGGCAGAATTTAATCTATTGTATTTTAGATCTGCTATATGTTATTTTAATCTTAGAATTTAGAACATTTAGAAAGCCAGGTTTGAGTCAGATAACAATAAGATATCAGTCAAATGCACCACTTCATGTCAAATATAATGTATTTAAAATGGAATATTCTAAAATAAAAAACAGAACAAGTCAAGAAATACACATATTTGCAGATTTAGCTGAATTAAAAAAGAAATTTCTCCTGGAGGGTTACCCACAAAGACTATTAAAAATGGGAATTTAAAATAAATAATCTTGAAAAGCCACAAGACAATAAAAAAGAAATGATATAAAGTATATCGGGTTTCCATACATCAAAGGACTACATGAACAAAATGATAATGAAATAAGTAATATAAACTTCAAGTTAGCACCGTCATACCAAAAAATATATACAACAGCTCAACACTGAGAAAAAACAACTACTACCAACTGAAACTAAGAATGTAGTATATAAAATTCATTGTACTTGTAGAGATAATAAATATTATATAGGAGAAACTAAAAGGAAGTTAAAAACCAGATTAAAAGAACATATAGCAGATCTAAAATACAATAGATTAAATTCTGCCTTTCATGATCATTGCATCCTGAATGATTGTAAAATAGATAAAGATAAAGTACAAAGAAAAAGAAAAATATCATAGAAAGTTCAAAGAAAGCATAGAAATTATCAAAAGTAATAAATATATAAATAAAAATCTAAGTATTAAAATAAACGAAAACTGGTTCAATATCTTATAAAATTAGGAATATTTTTGAAAAAGATTTTTTATGTAAAAAAATAATTTTCAAAAAATGTTGCCACAAGGTGGCCTACCCATCATGTGACTGTGTAGTAGACAGTGGGCAAGTTTAACTGGGGAAAAAAAGGGAAAGGAAAGGTCAGCGAAATACGTTTGTGAAGAAGGATTACTTCGAAAGACTAGTATGTAAATTTTAATTGTTAAATCAATTTAAACGTGATTGTAAGTGTATGGAAGAAATTTTAAAATTGTTTAAACTCATCAAAAAGGTATGTTTTTAAATAACATGACCTTATATGTTTGTTTGTTTATATCGTTGTAACTTGTAAACTTTTATTTTAGTTGGCTGAGGAGGGGCAAGAAATGCCTGAAATGTGTATAAACGAGAGGAACATGTATCAACTGAATAAAATTTAATTCTGTGATTTGCCAAGTGTCTGTATATATACAATAAATAATTTGTGTTTGAATTATAAAAAATTACTGGCATGGTTTCAAAAATACCAGGATTAATTCATTTAAAAAAATGCCACCAGGCAGACCTCATTCCACAAATAGATACACTCTGAATACTGTCCAATATATGAACATCCTAAACATGATGGTGGATGATAGCTTGATGACTTGCCATTGGCACAGCTACAGGAAGTTTGGTACCAGCATGGTGGTGTACCATCTCATTTCCAGATAGACATACATCAGTGCTTTGCAGAAGAATTTGGAAACTGCTGGATAGGACCAGAGCTGGCCCTACCATAGGGCGAACGAAGCAGCCACTCCAGGTGCTAAGTGCTATGGGGCACCTCAGTGGTAAAGAAAATTAAAGGGTATAAATTAGGAGCAACCAAGGGGAATGCCACAATAGGATCTTGCTCCATTATAAAACTTGTCTTGGGCCGGCACTGGATAGGACAACCTGTTCCTTGGCCATCATGTCTCCCAGATTTAATCCTTCTGGATTTTATTGCTGCTGAAGATGTCATTTTGAACTTGTTTTCTAACAAACTATAGCTCAGTATTTTTGTATCAATTCCTGCATTTTGTTTTTATTTTTTACAGCAGAGATTATTTGTATGTTATGCTAAATTGTCTTAAATTGAATCCCTTCAGTTATTTTAGCACTGTAACAAGTATGCACAACATGAATACTCTCATGAAATGCTTGAAAGCTTTTTTCTCCTCCTGGACAGATATTTAAGTAGACACCATATATATGAAAAAATAAAGAAGCACTAAATTTTAAAAACAGACTTTATATTATCTTACACAGATTAGGGACAATATGTAAAAAAATAATCATATATAAAAATTAAATTTACCAGTGCATGATTTTTTGTCCAATTCAAATTTATAACCAGGATTACAATCACAGTAATAAGAACCAAATGTGTTATGGCATTGTTGTGAACAATCATGCCTTACAAGGTCCTCACACTCATCTATATCTATAAAATAAATTTTAATTATTATTATATGATGACTAATTAATTAACCACAAAAATTGTCATTTATTTGAGGGTTGATTAATAAATAGTCTCCTACTGGAGTATTGTGTTTAATGCAAGGATAAAAACTTGTCATTGTCACCATTTGCTAGCCACAAGTATCTAATCTGTACATACATTATCTCAGTTCATTGTATTGTATCATTCCACATAAAAGTCAAGTTTAGACGTAAACTTGTCTTCCTCATTTCATACAATGCACCAATCTGTATTAATCGCACATTATTCTCCCCTCTTCCCAAAATTTACTTCATAAAAGTGGAGACTTTATTTATCAATTAACTCTCATAGCACACATATATTTAATATTGAGTAATAATTAATATTTTATTTACCTACACAAGTTCTACTATCATTTTCAAGTCGAAATCCACGTTTACAACTACAGAAATATGATCCTTGTGTATTAATGCATATTTGAGAACAATAATTAATAGTAGAATACTTGCATTCATTGATGTCTTGAATATTGATATGCATTTAAAATTAAAAAATTTTTAATATGTTAAATAGAAAATTTCAAATTTGCATTTTAATGTTACATTTTGAATAACTAGGAGAAAATTTCTTACCAGTGCAAGTTTTACCATCTGTTGAAAGTTCAAATCCAGAACTACATGAACAATAATATGATCCAAATGTATTATGACAATTTTGTGAACATTCACTTAAAGTAGTGTCACATTCATCAAAATCTAAAGATAGCAGAAAGACACATTTAAGAAAATGTAATAATAATATCTTTTCAAGAGATAAACAAATATTTTTGAATAATAATTGAATGAATATGAAATAAAAGAATACTATAGATACTAATCTAATTTTCCTAGATATTAATATAATTAAAATTTATAATTTTATGTACAAATTTTTTAAATTATTAATATAGGATGAAGATACTGGAATAAAATGAAGATCCCAATATTCTTAACTTATTTCAAAATATAAAATTAAAATTTTTAAAGGTAACTTACCAACACAAATCTTGTAATTATAAAGTTTAAAACCAGGTTTACACATACAATAATAAGAACCAATTGTATTATAACAAAATTGAGAGCAATCATTTGTTGATAAATCTTCACATTCATCTATGTCTATTAAAATAAAATATACCTTTACATATATTAATATACATTATATTTTATATTTATAACTAACTTACTTATTATATTAATATTAAAAAATAAGATTAATAAACTGAATTATATTTTTTTTATCAGTAAGATATTATAATATACTAATTGATTGAAGAGAAAATTATGTACTCTCTTTTTTTGTTGTAAATAAGTTGTACAATTATAGTAAAGTATAAAGTACTTATATCAATTCTTTCTTTTATATCTTAGAATCTGCTATTTCAAAAAGCTATTAAGTTTCAGTTTGCAATATATTTTTTACAAATCAACCATAGTGATCTAGACCAGCAGTCACCAACCAGTGGTCCATGGACCACTGATGGCCTGCAAGAAAATTTTGGTGGTCTGTGGAGAAATTTGGACATTAATCAACTCAAGGTGACACAAAGTATTATGAAAGAAATGCAAAATGCTTGGTTGCTTTTTCTCACTCATTGGATTTTTTTTATTCAAATATAAAACTAAATATGAAATGACTGTTATCAATAAATAATCAACAATAAATAATGTTGTGAGTGTGATTGTTGTCCTTCATGGTAAACAGCCAAGAATCGATAAACTTNGAGCACGATTCCACTGACTATCCAAACACCATTGTCAAACTTCTAGACTTATAGGAAAGCGGCGCTGAACATCCAACGTACACGTTTTCGCGTTGAAAACGGCGGCCGCAAACTCTCTATTATGGGCTTATGAAGCATTGTTTCCTTAGAATAGAATATAACTGTCACAATTTGCACCACATGCTCCAGGATGCACTTGACTTATATGACAGCAAGTGTGTTTTATCTTAAGTGTCTGGTGTGGAATTTGGGGTGAGAAGCTTATTTGTCCTGTATGCATTGAGTGTATCCTGAATAGTTATATATATATATATATATATAAAGTAATAAATATTATAAAATATAAAAAATATATATGTTTGTTTTCAGATGAAGATGAATGTAAAAATCCACTTACTAATAAATGTTCTCACATTTGTCATAATACTCCAGGGGCTTATAATTGCAGCTGTAAATTAGGTTTTAGTTTGCAACCGGATGGAATTACTTGCCTAGGTAATAAAAATATTTATATAATGAAAAATTGTAGTTATATTAAATAATGAATTAATATATTTTCTCTTTAATTTTTATATTATAGATGTAAATGAATGTCAAGAGACTTCAAATAATAATTGTTCTCAGATTTGCATTAATACAGATGGTTCATATCTTTGTAGATGTAAAATTGGCTATTATCTTCATACTGATGGAAAAACATGCTTAGGTATTGTACAGAAAAGTAATAAATTATTAATTTAGATATATATGAGTGATTATATATAATATGTAAAGTAAGAAGTTTGCTTTTAACAAAAATATTTTTATTATATTTATTTTTTAGAGTTAAAATAAATAAAGTCCATTTATAAATTAATACTAATATAATGAAATTTAATCAAGAATATGGAAATTTATAATCTAGATCATATCCTAGATTAATTTTCATTAATCATAATAATTAGTGGTAACAAAAACCAGAAATTCTTGAAATTGGTTAACTGGTTTTCAACAAAACTGGTTTTTAAATGTAAGATGCCAAACTGATTCAAAACCAGTTTTAATTCAATAGAATTAATGTTTTATTATCATATTTTATTAATATTAATAAAGTACTACAGTAAATATTATCCAAGATTCATGAATAAGCCTGTATCATATGTATTATTCCTGCCAAAAGAAGTCAGTATTTCTTTAATGGAATTCTGAATACAGCATTAAATTTTAAACGTGTGTAGTGCATGGCATTATTTTTAAAAAGTCAAGGATGATAAATTGCTTTCATGTACAGTACAAATTCTAATGTTACACAAATTTTCTAGTAGAATATCAATTATGTGAAATTATCTTAAATCCAAGCACTTTACTATCAATTAAAAGTGAAAAAATAACAAGTAAACACATTGATACCAATTTCATTGCCTGTTTCAAAACTAGTTTTTAGTTTTTTCTAAAACCATGATTTACTGAAAATCAGTTAATCATTTTTTATGAAAAACTGGTTTTGTTGCCAGCATTAATAACAATAATAATTTTTTAGAAAAGTAAAGATAAAAATATACAAGCATGAATAAAAATACTTCATAATAATTCACAATAATAAAATAATTAAATGATTTGATTTTAAGTATTTCAAATCTGAAAAATTTAAAATTAGTAATTTTAAATGTAATTTAGTTTGATATGTTAAAATATTAAAATGAGCCATTTATTTTGAAATGTGGGCAAGTCCATTTTTCTTTGTTTTGAGATATTTAAGGATTTACATTTCAATAGATTTTTAAAAGAATTAGTAAGTGCTAATAGACAACTGTTACATATTTTATGATGTTAGACAATGTCAATTTATTATCTAGAAGTGTTCATTGATATTGGCTGAAGAAACTGAAGATTTTGTAATACCTAAATGGACTTATCTCACTTTAAAATTAATGAATTATTGTAAATGTTATTTAAATGGCTAATATTTCAGTTCAATCAGCTCTATATTTTAATAACAACAACAAAATATCATAATATCTTGTTTAAATATTTATTCATTTGATGAAAAATGAAAGTAAAACATTAAAATCATATATTTTAATCTATATCATATAATTATATATTTATTGCTTTATATTTATATTTTCAGTTTTATTTAGGGTTTAGCATTTTAAAATATTCATGATAAGCAAGAGATATAGACATATATGAAATAAATCCATCATGTCCTTATATTTTTAAGATGTAATTGGCCTAGTTCTTTATGCAAAGAAGAAAATTTTATATTTCTGAAATTACTTGATCTTCCTTGTTGTGATAAATTGAAAATTTTAAATGACTTTTACACCTCTATATGTATGCTATTTGAATTGAGGGAAAAATATCCAAATATTACATAACTTTTAGGTTTTCACAATATTGCCAGTATTGCTAAATTATACAGTAAAATATTTGTAATACTATTAATCATCAGAACATTCATTACTAAAATATTAAGAATTTTGAATTATATTGACTATAGATTGTTTNATCTATAGTATTCTTTTATTTCATATTCATTCAATTATTATTCAAAAATATTTGTTTATCTCTTGAAAAGATATTATTATTACATTTTCTTAAATGTGTCTTTCTGCTATCTTTAGATTTTGATGAATGTGACACTACTTTAAGTGAATGTTCACAAAATTGTCATAATACATTTGGATCATATTATTGTTCATGTAGTTCTGGATTTGAACTTTCAACAGATGGTAAAACTTGCACTGGTAAGAAATTTTCTCCTAGTTATTCAAAATGTAACATTAAAATGCAAATTTGAAATTTTCTATTTAACATATTAAAAATTTTTTAATTTTAAATGCATATCAATATTCAAGACATCAATGAATGCAAGTATTCTACTATTAATTATTGTTCTCAAATATGCATTAATACACAAGGATCATATTTCTGTAGTTGTAAACGTGGATTTCGACTTGAAAATGATAGTAGAACTTGTGTAGGTAAATAAAATATTAATTATTACTCAATATTAAATATATGTGTGCTATGAGAGTTAATTGATAAATAAAGTCTCCACTTTTATGAAGTAAATTTTGGGAAGAGGGGAGAATAATGTGCGATTAATACAGATTGGTGCATTGTATGAAATGAGGAAGACAAGTTTACGTCTAAACTTGACTTTTATGTGGAATGATACAATACAATGAACTGAGATAATGTATGTACAGATTAGATACTTGTGGCTAGCAAATGGTGACAATGACAAGTTTTTATCCTTGCATTAAACACAATACTCCAGTAGGAGACTATTTATTAATCAACCCTCAAATAAATGACAATTTTTGTGGTTAATTAATTAGTCATCATATAATAATAATTAAAATTTATTTTATAGATATAGATGAGTGTGAGGACCTTGTAAGGCATGATTGTTCACAACAATGCCATAACACATTTGGTTCTTATTACTGTGATTGTAATCCTGGTTATAAATTTGAATTGGACAAAAAATCATGCACTGGTAAATTTAATTTTTATATATGATTATTTTTTTACATATTGTCCCTAATCTGTGTAAGATAATATAAAGTCTGTTTTTAAAATTTAGTGCTTCTTTATTTTTTCATATATATGGTGTCTACTTAAATATCTGTCCAGGAGGAGAAAAAAGCTTTCAAGCATTTCATGAGAGTATTCATGTTGTGCATACTTGTTACAGTGCTAAAATAACTGAAGGGATTCAATTTAAGACAATTTAGCATAACATACAAATAATCTCTGCTGTAAAAAATAAAAACAAAATGCAGGAATTGATACAAAAATACTGAGCTATAGTTTGTTAGAAAACAAGTTCAAAATGACATCTTCAGCAGCAATAAAATCCAGAAGGATTAAATCTGGGAGACATGATGGCCAAGGAACAGGTTGTCCTATCCAGTGCCGGCCCAAGACAAGTTTTATAATGGAGCAAGATCCTATTGTGGCATTCCCCTTGGTTGCTCCTAATTTATACCCTTTAATTTTCTTTACCACTGAGGTGCCCCATAGCACTTAGCACCTGGAGTGGCTGCTTCGTTCGCCCTATGGTAGGGCCAGCTCTGGTCCTATCCAGCAGTTTCCAAATTCTTCTGCAAAGCACTGATGTATGTCTATCTGGAAATGAGATGGTACACCACCATGCTGGTACCAAACTTCCTGTAGCTGTGCCAATGGCAAGTCATCAAGCTATCATCCACCATCATGTTTAGGATGTTCATATATTGGACAGTATTCAGAGTGTATCTATTTGTGGAATGAGGTCTGCCTGGTGGCATTTTTTTAAATGAATTAATCCTGGTATTTTTGAAACCATGCCAGTAATTTTTTATAATTCAAACACAAATTATTTATTGTATATATACAGACACTTGGCAAATCACAGAATTAAATTTTATTCAGTTGATACATGTTCCTCTCGTTTATACACATTTCAGGCATTTCTTGCCCCTCCTCAGCCAACTAAAATAAAAGTTTACAAGTTACAACGATATAAACAAACAAACATATAAGGTCATGTTATTTAAAAACATACCTTTTTGATGAGTTTAAACAATTTTAAAATTTCTTCCATACACTTACAATCACGTTTAAATTGATTTAACAATTAAAATTTACATACTAGTCTTTCAAAGTAATCCTTCCTCACAAACGTATTTCGCTGACCTTTCCTCCCCCTTTTTTTCCCCAGTTAAACTTGCCCACTGTCTACTACACAGTCACATGATGGGTAGGCCACCTTGTGGCAACATTTTTTGAAAATTATTTTTTTACATAAAAAATCTTTTTCAAAAATATTCCTAATTTTATAAGATATTGTGCCAGTTTTCGTTTATTTTAATACTTAGATTTTTATTTATATACATATTACTTTTGATAATTTCTACTGTTTCTTTGAACTTTCTATGATATGTTTCTTTTTCTTCGTGGAGTATTTGTATGTATATAATTCGTCTCTGTAATCCAAAAAATTTTTGGTAGACGGACTCACAGCAAAACTTTTAGTTAGGAACTCACTTTTATTTTCTAAAAAATGAAATATGCATTTCAGGTTGGTACATACATCCAACCCTTCCTCAGTGTCTTAAAAACAAAATTGTGTATGGGCTACCAACACATCTAAACACCAACAATTGTTTCTCATCAATACACCTTAAAATTATCGTACAAGTTTAAAGAGCACTTGAAGTGTTTGCATTATATCACTTTAAAATGTATACGAACAATCCAACACCTAGCAATACAGTAGAACCCTTCTTTGGCTTGGATTGTTCGTTAGTGAATTGTTCGTTAGAGAATAAAAGTGAGTTCCTAACTGAAAGTTTTGCTGTGAGTCCGTCTACCAAAAATTTTTTGGATTACAGAGACGAATTATATACATAGTAACATACAGCAGTCCAGTTATATAGGGAGTATTTGTACTTTCTTTATATCTATTTTACAATCGTTCAGGGTGCAATGATCATGAAAAGCAGAATTTAATCTATTGTATTTTAGATCTGCTATATGTTCTTTTAATCTGGTTTATAACTTCCTTTTAGTTTCTCTTATATAATATTTATTATCTCTACAAGTACAATGAATTTTATATACTACATTCTTAGTTTCAGTTGGTAGTTGTTGTTTTTTCTTAGTGTTGAGCTGTTTAAGCCTTGTATACATTTTGTTGAGCTGTGCAAGCCAATACAACAATGCGGATTCGTCTAAAAAGTGTTATTTAAAATGGCTGCGAATTGATTATTTCTTAAATAAATTTTTCTGAGTTAATAAAAAAAAATAATTCGAGTAATGTAACATCATCATAAAAGGAATTAGAATTACTTCCTCGATTCACTGCTTTCGTCAAATCTGTATTATATTTGTTTATATCAAAAACTATTGAATATGGATTAAAGTTAAAGTTAAGATTTGTTAATGTGTATTTTTCACTTTTGCAGGATTTCGACTACGAAGAGGAGTGAAGTTTCGTCTGTTTCAGGATTAAATTACTCCTTTTGAAAAACACAAGAAAAGATCATTAAATAAAGCATTTATATATTTAAAATGATATTCTTTGGTCAATGATATAATCTACAAAAAAATAAATTGGCCATCGACCTAGAATCATTTGAAGATGACGTCAATTTTACTGACATTATGTTTCAATCATCATCGGCATTAAATTAAAGTTACGATTTCTATTTCATTTTGTGCAATTTTAACATAGTTTTCTTTTTGTAAATAATTTTAATACTGTTTTAAACTTTAAGTTCATAGAAGAAAAATATTGACTTATAGTCATTGTAAATCTACAGTTTTTTTTTTGTATGATAAATAACTCGCGTACCCCTAGGGGTACGCGAAAAATACAGTATAAATGAAAACTTATGCTGTCGATTGTACAATGCAACAGATCAATAAATGTTGCACAGTCGGTCAATGGTATTGGGGATACCATTATGTGTGATTAGTGATTATGCTACGGACTTTTGATGGTGGGTTGTGTTACAGTTATTATTATTATCTCTCAACAATATCCCCACACGTTGTTTAAATAAAGTATTTTTTTTTTTTTTTATAAAAAGTATTTTTTATTGTTAGAAAGGAAAAAGGCATTGATAGCTTCTCCATATTTTGTCTACAAGCGGTAATTTTTTCATTATTTATTAATTATTTTTATTAATTTTTTATTGACAAGACTATGTCTTGTTTACAAAATCGTACTGCCTGCTGTGTTACCAGCTTAGAGGTATGAAGGAGTAAATGTCAAAAGTTGCAATTTGGCACAAAGTATTAGGTGCCCAAATCATGCGCGTATAAAAAACCAGACTTGTACGTACTCGGGGAACCGAGAACCGAGCCAAAATAAAATTCAAAATGGCTCATGCGTTGCTCGTTGGGAAGTTGGAAATGCCACTGGTGTATGCTAATGTGAAATCTGGAGTTAGGAAGGAAGCTGATTGTTTTCCTACGGCCGACTCACGAGATGAGTCAAAAGTGTGGCCTTTGCACATCTTTACTCGGCCATCTGAGGAGGCCGATATAAAAAGAGATTTTTCCCGACATTCGAGGAGTCAGCCATTCGAACGGTTCTCCATACGATGTAGAGAGTCCGTTATACGATGAGTCCGCAATTCGAAGAGTTCTCCATAAGATATAGGGCAGTATAGAACAAGTGATCCATACAAAAAATACCACAGAAGAAAAATGAAGATTTTCCATATTTAAGAAGACCCTCTTCTCATACATGAAAATATTCGAAAGAACTTTGAAGGTAGTATATATATGATTCAGATCGATGCAAACTCTCTCTCACGCGTTAGATTTAAGATAGGATTGTTAGGTTTAATTTACTTAATCGCGATTTTAATTTACTTAATCCATTTCATTTGTATATTCTTTTGATATTTTGTTTTATTAAATATTTTCGTTTTGTTGTTTCAAATATGGCTCTTTTGATGATTGATATTCACTACTCTGCTTATTCAAATTACTTGCGTTCCTCATACTCCCAATTCCATGGTTACGCGTGTTAATCCGCGTTAAAATAACATTAACTTGTGTTGGAAATCTGACGAGGAGAAGGGTGATCACGCGATTGTCTCTCTCCGCCTTTATTTTACTTCATAACTGTAAGTCCCTCCACACTCGATGTCTTTGGTAGAAAAACCATCCTTTTAGACAATACGAGGGCTATTTTCACGATTAGCTGCCGAGTAAGCAGTACACGAGTTTTACGAACTCCGTATCCCCGGCCAGCTCCTCACACTAATGAAAAAAGTTTGGGAATCGCTGGATAATTTATTAAATTATTGTCATTATGTTTTATAATTTCAGTATGTTGTTTAAATTTTCTTTTATACATATTTTTCTCTACGTGAAGGATTTTAATATTTTTTCTATCAATATTACAGTTATTATTTTTGATATGATTATACCAAGGAGAGTTGTTGTACTTTAATATAATNTTAAGTGTCTGGTGTGGAATTTGGGGTGAGAAGCTTATTTGTCCTGTATGCATTGAGTGTATCCTGAATAGTTATATATATATATATATATATAAAGTAATAAATATTATAAAATATAAAAAATATATATGTTTGTTTTCAGATGAAGATGAATGTAAAAATCCACTTACTAATAAATGTTCTCACATTTGTCATAATACTCCAGGGGCTTATAATTGCAGCTGTAAATTAGGTTTTAGTTTGCAACCGGATGGAATTACTTGCCTAGGTAATAAAAATATTTATATAATGAAAAATTGTAGTTATATTAAATAATGAATTAATATATTTTCTCTTTAATTTTTATATTATAGATGTAAATGAATGTCAAGAGACTTCAAATAATAATTGTTCTCAGATTTGCATTAATACAGATGGTTCATATCTTTGTAGATGTAAAATTGGCTATTATCTTCATACTGATGGAAAAACATGCTTAGGTATTGTACAGAAAAGTAATAAATTATTAATTTAGATATATATGAGTGATTATATATAATATGTAAAGTAAGAAGTTTGCTTTTAACAAAAATATTTTTATTATATTTATTTTTTAGAGTTAAAATAAATAAAGTCCATTTATAAATTAATACTAATATAATGAAATTTAATCAAGAATATGGAAATTTATAATCTAGATCATATCCTAGATTAATTTTCATTAATCATAATAATTAGTGGTAACAAAAACCAGAAATTCTTGAAATTGGTTAACTGGTTTTCAACAAAACTGGTTTTTAAATATAAGATGCCAAACTGATTCAAAACCAGTTTTAATTCAATAGAATTAATGTTTTATTATCATATTTTATTAATATTAATAAAGTACTACAGTAAATATTATCCAAGATTCATGAATAAGCCTGTATCATATGTATTATTCCTGCCAAAAGAAGTCAGTATTTCTTTAATGGAATTCTGAATACAGCATTAAATTTTAAACGTGTGTAGTGCATGGCATTATTTTTAAAAAGTCAAGGATGATAAATTGCTTTCATGTACAGTACAAATTCTAATGTTACACAAATTTTCTAGTAGAATATCAATTATGTGAAATTATCTTAAATCCAAGCACTTTACTATCAATTAAAAGTGAAAAAATAACAAGTAAACACATTGATACCAATTTCATTGCCTGTTTCAAAACTAGTTTTTAGTTTTTTCTAAAACCATGATTTACTGAAAATCAGTTAATCATTTTTTATGAAAAACTGGTTTTGTTGCCAGCATTAATAACAATAATAATTTTTTAGAAAAGTAAAGATAAAAATATACAAGCATGAATAAAAATACTTCATAATAATTCACAATAATAAAATAATTAAATGATTTGATTTTAAGTATTTCAAATCTGAAAAATTTAAAATTAGTAATTTTAAATGTAATTTAGTTTGATATGTTAAAATATTAAAATGAGCCATTTATTTTGAAATGTGGGCAAGTCCATTTTTCTTTGTTTTGAGATATTTAAGGATTTACATTTCAATAGATTTTTAAAAGAATTAGTAAGTGCTAATAGACAACTGTTACATATTTTATGATGTTAGACAATGTCAATTTATTATCTAGAAGTGTTCATTGATATTGGCTGAAGAAACTGAAGATTTTGTAATACCTAAATGGACTTATCTCACTTTAAAATTAATGAATTATTGTAAATGTTATTTAAATGGCTAATATTTCAGTTCAATCAGCTCTATATTTTAATAACAACAACAAAATATCATAATATCTTGTTTAAATATTTATTCATTTGATGAAAAATGAAAGTAAAACATTAAAATCATATATTTTAATCTATATCATATAATTATATATTTATTGCTTTATATTTATATTTTCAGTTTTATTTAGGGTTTAGCATTTTAAAATATTCATGATAAGCAAGAGATATAGACATATATGAAATAAATCCATCATGTCCTTATATTTTTAAGATGTAATTGGCCTAGTTCTTTATGCAAAGAAGAAAATTTTATATTTCTGAAATTACTTGATCTTCCTTGTTGTGATAAATTGAAAATTTTAAATGACTTTTACACCTCTATATGTATGCTATTTGAATTGAGGGAAAAATATCCAAATATTACATAGCTTTTAGGTTTTCACAATATTGCCAGTATTGCTAAATTATACAGTAAAATATTTGTAATACTATTAATCATCAGAACATTCATTACTAAAATATTAAGAATTTTGAATTATATTGACTATAGATTGTTTACAAATATAAAGATCATATTAAATTTTATTTATTGTTATCATGATCTTTATTTTTTTTCAAAATTAGATTTGCCCCACTTTCAAAATAAGTGGTTCAAATAATACTAATTAGAAAAATTTAATAATTATATACTTTTTTTTATTTTTAATTTATCTGTAGATTTATAATGAAATTAATCTGAAATTTTGAGTACTAAATTGTTTATATATATAATGTACTGTACAAACCTCATGAAAAACTACACTAAAAAACAAAATAAATAAAGATATAATTTGGTTAAAATGCTTTTCAGAATTATTTAAATTGTTTATATTCTAACATTACTGTTTGCATCATTTTTCATTTCAAAACTTACTTTAATCATTAATTTCCTTTTAGCTTAACAAAAAATTGTTATATTACTTAGAAATGTAATTAATATTCTTCTGAATAGGAGACAGTCCTTAAGTTTTTAAATGATGTACAGTACACTGTATATTGGATATTTCAAGTAAATTTTTGTTTATTTCTTTTTATTATATTGTTCTTTCAAAGAGGAAAAATAACTTTTTCATTTATTGAATATACTTATTTGATGGTTATTCTGGTTGATAGCTAATTTAAGAATATTTTTTATAAAGATATAAATGAATGCACAATAAATAATGGTGGCTGTAAACGACAATGTACAAATTATCCTGGTTCCTTTAAATGTTCTTGCATTTCTGGGGAAATATTAAGTTCGGATGGACGATCTTGTGAAAGTAAGAAATTTTGTAATTTTATCCTAGACATAATACAGTCAACTTGCCTTAAAATGAACAAATGACTCAATAAAGCAAATTTTGCCACAGTATTAATTTTCATACAATAAAGTGAACAAAAATTTTATCAGAATTCATTAAACCAAACTGTAAATTACCTTTTCAACTCCTAAGAAATAATCCTATTTCAATGGTTGCTTTTTACACTTTTCAACATGAACAATAAAAAGTGGTAGTGTACTAAATGTTCCATTTTGAGTAGAAAAGATTTTCTTCTCCTAGTAAGCAAAGATAGATTTGACCTTCAATTGTAGAGTAAATCAACTATCTGGTTTTAGTGGACATTTCTACTGTACTTATAAAATAGGGGTTAAGTTTAGATATTCTCACCACTTTCAATGAATATAATCCCATGTAAACATAATGCTCATTTGCATATCAGGGAGTGCACAAAGTAATGCCAAGTTTGGCTACTTTGCACCAAATTTAGCTCTTTTTTTACTCTTTTGTCAGCAAAAAATATTTTCTACTTTTTTAAACAATCTTCAGTAGAAAAAAATCACAGATTTCTTTTAACCTTATTTTGTTTAACCACTCTAATATACTGCTCCATACTTAAACAGCAAGTACTAATCTCCTCCTCATTTAGTTGATTTGAAAATTATTTAGAACATTAAATTGTTTTTATAAATAAATTTAACTTTATTTAGTAAATTAATTCAAAATATTTTAATTCAGAGATTTCAATTGCTTATTAAGCCTTAACTCTCTAAATTTTACAACCTTAATCTTGATCCTGAAAATCGTTAATACAAATTTTCGATAGACAAACTTAACTACTATTCCCATAACAATTCACATTAATGCAAGTTGACTGTAATTGTATTTACCTATTAATATTTCAGTTTTTAATGTATTTAAAATAATTAATCCATAAATAAAGTTTAGTAACTAACAAAGTGTTAATATATTACTAAATTTATAAACTAGTGAGAAGGAAAAATATATTTATTGATTATTATTTTTATTATTATTATTTAAATTTCAAATAGTACCTTTTTTAAATTAAAAAGGTACTGTTTGAAATTTGTGTTTTTTTCTATTTTTATTCAGAAATGAAAAAGTGTGAAGTTAACAATGGAGGATGTGAACAAATATGCACAACATTACATAATAATAAGATTTTATGCAGCTGTTATAATGGATATTTACTGTCAGAAAATGAAAAAAGTTGTATTGGTATTAATAATTAATTATTTTACATAAAATTAAATTTATGTTAGAATAAATATCTTAAAGTTTAATTTCAAATAATAAATTTTATTTAGATAAAAATGAATGCAGTAATCTGAATGGTGGATGTCAACATAATTGTAGTAATTCTCCTGGATCATACTATTGCACTTGTATGGAAGGTTATCAAATATCAGAAGAAAATAAATTTGCTTGTAAACGTAAGACTGTATTTTAATTAAAATGAATTTTTAATTGATTTTATTATGTATATAGCCCTAAAGAAAAGTTTATTTCTTTCTCAAAATATAAAAAATATACTAAGTCTCATTCAACTTTTTAAAGCAGCAAAAAACTTTCATAACTAATGTTTTCAAATAAAAAATACAAGTATAATGTGTTCTTCAGACATATATGTAAAAAAATGCACTTAAGAAAGTTTACCATAAATTTTGAGATAATAATAATAACAACAACAAAATAAAACACACAGTTAAAGCAATAAACATATATCATCCAAGTACTCCCATTTTCTTTTGGAGTTATACATTGGACTCACACAGATCTTAAGCAACTCCAAAGGAAAACAAGAACAACACTTACTAAGCATAAACATCATCCTAAATCTGCCGTAAATAGATTAACCCTTCCATGTAAAGATGGTGGACATGGCCTGATTGACATAGTAAACCTTCACTACAAACAAATACAGACACTGCAAGAGTTTTTCTACAAAAAACATAAAGCAATAACTCTAGCAGACTCAAATAACAAACCATTAAACTTACATTTGCATCATATGGACAAGACAGAACACATAAATAGCACAGACACCATTAAATTAAGCAATCTTTGGGTTCAGTGGATTCAAAAGGCACTCTATGGCAGACACCCCTATGACCCAGCCCAGGATTTTGTTGACAAAACTGCTCAAATAGCTTGTTAGCTTGGAGATGCCTCTTTGGGGAGACAGAAAGGTTTATGATTGCCATACAGGATCAGGTCATAAATACTAAAAATTACAGAAAACATGTACTGAAAGATATAACACTCAAATGACACATGCCGAAAATGTCACATCATGCCAGGAACTATGCAACACATCACTTCTGGTTGCATGCTCTTGGCACAGACAGATTATTTACATAGACATAATCAAGTAGCAAATATTGCTTGCAAACAAACTCAAATTATTAGACATCCACGAACCATACTACAAATACGTTTCACAGACACTATTGGAAAACAACACATACAAAATGTACTATGACAGAGCCATAATCACAGATAAAACAATTTTACTACAACAGATCAGACATCACACTCAGGTGGATTTACATNTAGGTTCATACTAGGTTATGGTAGGTTAGTTTAGTTAGTGAGTAAGTTAATGTTTAAAAAATAAAATAAATAAATAAATAATAAAACCAAAAAAATAAATTGGGGTCTTGCCTGTTTGTCTCTTGGTCTGTTCATCTCGTCTAGTTTGTCATTGTGTGTGTTTCCTTTTCTCACTGTCTGTCTAGCTGTTAAGTAGTATTAAAATTTGCAATCACGTTCAGTTTTATTAGGATTAAGTAGATATAAGTCTTCCTACTAACAACCACTTGGCACTAACTTCTACACTTAGCTATTCATGGCAGCACTCAATTATTGGTATTCACTACACTCAGGTGTACTTTTAGACCCTTTGGGGAACTACAGCCTTGCAGCATAAAAACTGCATGCCAACATCAAACATAGAGGATACTGTAGCCATATGTATGCCATTCAGAGGGATCCTACCTTTGTCTACTGTCTATCTCCTCTCCCTCCTTTTCCCCTCCCCTTTCCCTTCCTGGCTAAACACTTTGTGTATGGCCGATGTCTTTCTTGTATGTATGTAATGTATATATACAGGATATAATACTTTTTAAAACAAATTTGTTTTATTTCTCAGTACTAATTAAAATAAATTGATACTATTATAAATTTGTCTTCAATTTTGTGTAGTGAATGCATGTTTTAGAGAATAGAAAGAAATAAATCCTATTCAATCTGAAATTGAAGATGAAAATGACAAATAGTAAAGGAATCTCTAGTTACATAGAAATAAAAAAAAGCATGGGCAATAACGTTGATATTTATTCTAAAATATAAATATTGAATTAATACATACAAAACAGTGAAAAAAGTGAAGTTTCACAGATGTTGATTAAACAAGCAAAAATATGAATAAATTAAAGATATAAAGAAAATTTGATTGAATATGATAAGCATCTGTGGAAAGTGAAGAACATATAAATCTGTTTTATATATATTAATTCATTATTTATGTTTTAGAGTGAATTCAATATTATTTCCAATTTTAAAATTTCTATGTAACTAGAGATTCCTTCTCTATTTCACCTTGGTTTGTATTATATTAATTCAGTATTGTTCATCTAGTTACTTGCAAGTAAATCTGACTCGTTTAAGTTTCTTAAGACTTAAATAATTTGTAGTAATCTATAAATCTATACTAATATTATAAAGAGGTAATGTTTGTAAGTATGTATGTAAGTTTGTTTGCAGCAGGTAATCTCCGAAACTACTCATCCGATTTCAAAAATTCTTTCACCAATATTTAGAATGGAACCTCAGGGTGGACATAGGCTGTATATTATTCTGTTAAACATTCATATAAATTAAAATATATAATCTAGGTTAAGGCTTTTATGTCCAACAGATGGCGCTACGAGTACGACGCCCTAA